CAACAACAGCAACAATAACAACAGCAGCAACAACAGCAACAGCAACAGCAAATCAAACAATCAATGAACAACTTTATTGTGTCTAAACTTCTAGGGTTCCATAAGTGGTAACCCTAATYAGGACACCAAACAGCAGCAGCAACAGCAAACGGCAGCAGCAACATTAAAAAAAACAAATTCAAATTTTCCCAAGAACATATACATGTACTTCAAATTACCTGGAGCAAGTCTTTGTTAAGTTCTGTTTAAAGGTCTTGAAAATATGAACCTATTTGGCAAAATCAAAATCATCATCATCATCATCATCATCATCATCATAATGGGAAGTTCTTGTAAAGCGCATTCATACAACATCTCAATGCGCTTTACACTAATGACAAGTGGAGGACTTTACGGGCTGCATATTAAGGCAGCTTACAATCATGAGTGATTTGTTAGTACATTAGTGTTATGCCTCCAACCAGGGATAGGCTGTTAAACCGGGAGACAATCCCCAACTCAAATAGAGAATCTTATTCTTGAGAGAATCACATGTGGTCTGAAATGGGCAAAACATTATGCCGAAGTAGTTAGGTCCATTATAAATAACATTATAAAATAACTATTATAAATGCCGCGTTCTGATTGGTTGAGAGCGTATGCTTTATGAGAGCACAAAGCACGTGCGCGGATTTTCAGTTGCATCATTCCTCTCCAAAATAACGGTTATTGTAATTTGTATTTCATAAAAGAAATAAAAAACTTGCTTGCTGTGCTGTGTGGAGCTATAAAATACTTGGGGAATGACAGAACACTTGAGAAGTGTCGAGAAGCACTCCACAACACGTCAGGCTTCTCCTAACACTTCTCTCGTGTTCTGCCAACCCCCGCGTGCTTTATAACTGCACACAACACACACGCGCGTTTTCTGTTTCTTCATCATCGTAAAAGAAGTCCCAGAAGTCCCTTATATCATATTTGTAAAAGTGTCTACCCCAAGACATGTTACTGTAAACTTTAGTGATTATTTTAAACAATATTATGGTAAGAAGATATAACTAGCTAAAAACTAGTGTGAGCTGCGTCAGTGTTTCTAATGAAACAGTAATGATGAAAAGGTAAATTATACACCGTGAAAAGATGAAAAAAACTGACGTTTCGGACGCTCCTTTACTCCAACGAAGGACTAGCGTCCGAAACGTCAGTAAGTTTTTTCATCTTTTCACGGTGTATAATTTACCTTTTCATCATTACAATATTATGGTATAAAAGAAGCCTCATTTACAAAAGGTTAGTCCCTTACGTCATATTCGTAGAAGTGTGTCAGCAATAACATGTTCTTTGGGGTGATGCCATGCTGGACCAGATTATCCCCAGATGACTGTGGGTTGTCTACCAATTGGACAAGGATGTGAATCAGRACGTTTTGAATCTGGAAAACAAATACATTTTACCTTGTAAACCTTCAAACTACTAATACATAGTCTCTCACTGCTGGACAACAGCTCAATAGTCCCTTTCACAGTTACCTGCGCCATCTTGAAAGGTAGTCGTGCCTTTGCATCGAAGCGAGACGAACGGTGAGCTTGCAATGATAGAGGCCTTTTTTAACACCTTGAACAATTATTCACATGTCTCTATCATTGCAAGCTCACCATTTGTCTTGCTTCGATGCAAAGGCACGGCTACCTTTCAAGATGGCACAGGGAACTGTGAAGGGGACTATTGCTGGCTTTCACTTAATAATTTCTTGTCTTGTGCAGAATATTCTTAGCTGATTGAATGACTAGTTTTTAATTCTTGGGGCACATGTTACGTCATAGCCGCCATCTTGGTTGACTATGCAAAGCATTTCTCATTAAGCTTCTCGTTAGATCAACTAAGATGGCAGCTGTTTTCTTGGTATTTATATCTCAAGGGATTTTCCGGTCACATGGTTGCGCTACAGGAATATACTTTTTCATGCAACATCCATATCAGTTGGAACAATAAATTCCACAACAATTCAATTTAAAAATCACTTTGCTTACCTCTTTATCATGGGAAAATGCAAAGGTTGCTAAGGACTGTATGATATCCTGTTATAAAACATGATAATTAATAATGTTAAATAATATAATCATAATCATAATTGATGATAACTGCACAAAATAATAATTGATAATAACAATAATTAATAATAATAATAAACCTTTTGCTGTTCATTAACGTAAATAAATGTCCAAAACACTGTATTGAATGTGTGTTGTGGTTTATTGTCTGCACCAAAACGTTAATGAAAGTTCAAAAACATTAATGAATCCACGCAAGCATATTCATGAATGTCAAATTCAATGCTAAATTTCTTAATGAACGTTCCATCGCACTATTGAGACTCCGTTTGCCTTATTGTATGCCTGTTCGCTCTAATGACAATGCTTCTTCGCTGCAATGAATATTCCTTTGCGGTTAATGAACAGCAAAATGTGTAATTAAAGTGAGGACATTTGAAACGTGAACACTTTGAGTTTTTTCAGGTTATCTAATGACAACGACAACRATAATAACAAATTGTTTTCAAAAATAAACTGATTTGTCATTGACACAACTGACCTTATTTTCCAAAACAGCTGCCCTACACCTTCCCCCAAGGTTTGACAGTTGCAAGATCACAGCAAGGAAACTCAAAACTAGATCACGATCAGGAACATTAACTGAGGATAAGACAATAACATTAGAAAATGTTGAAGAAAAAAAACGTACAGTAATATTAAGTTAGAATCCTTTTTACTGTATTATGGCTAATATTTCATCTTTGAGATCCAAATTACTGCTGTGTCATTGATAACAGACTCATTTGCTTAAGGTTAGTCTCGTATCCGTGTCTAAATATTCACAAATATTAATGGTAAAGTAAAGAATGCACAACTTCAACTTCAAGGTTACACTGTACATGTAAATACCATCAAGGACTTACTGAATAAGGAAAAGCTGTGCCCAAGGTCTAGAATACACTTATTTCAATAAAGTTAGTCACCAAAAACCTAGAAAGCTGAGATTACTGAGCATCATGGGAAACTTTTCATATCAAAAAAGCATATATATACAAAGCTTTTTTAATACAAACTGCAGCTAGATGATGCTCAGAAGAGGTGAGACTGTAACCGGTAAAAGATTTGCAAGTCCATGAACTGTTATCGAGTGGTTGAACGTGTAAAATGAATCTACCCATAATCCTTGTCGGCCTCAGCTATATAGCTTTTCAGGTGACTAATTTCATTGAAATAAGTGTATACAGAACGAAGCCACTAGGCCAGAGGTTCATTTTCAAGGCTTTTTCAAGGCTTCTCCATTTACTTTTTGCACTCATTTAGCATTTTTTTTAAAGATAAGCAATCCATATATATGCTAGGATACCAGACTGTGGTCAGAGATATAAGACACCCCTGCTCTGACAGCCAATAACAATGCATGTTTTTTTTAGGATCCCAGACCACTGTGTAGTTCCAAAAATTATCCATACCCCCCTCACAAAGGAACTTTTTTAAGACACCCCCTACCCCCCTGAAATTCCGATTTTCTTCCATACAAACTCTGTAATTTTTGTTCTTTCTCTGACCCCCCTACCCTTCAGAAATTCCAAGTTCCTCTGTGGGGGGGGGGGGGGGGGTATGGATAATTTCTAGAACTACACATTAAAAAAAAGTAATACTCAAGAGAATGATTGGGGGGGGGGGGGGGGGGGTATGGATAATTTCTAGAACTACACATTAAAAAAAAGTAATACTCAAGAGAATGATTTGTTCCAACATGGGAAAACAATACACTCAATAGCCATGCAGTGAAAATGCCCCTGCTATAGTACAGCTCAYGGGGATGTTAACATGTCCACGTGCAATTTCTGTGGGCAGTCACTGTGGTGACTGTACACTCAAGTGCGTGTATTGCACACAATAAGTCAACGCATGTAGTCAATGCATATTTGTGCCTTTTCTTATTGTCATACTGTTATAATGTTAAGAAGATATAACTACGTAGCTAAAAACTAGTGTGAGCTGCGTCGGTGTTTCTAATGAAACAGTAATGATAAAAAGGTAAATTATACACCGTGAAAAGATGAAAAAACTTAGTTAGTTGAAAGCAAAGCATTCATTAATCCCATTGGGACTAAGAGTGCCCAATAGGTGAATAAGCCGCATTTAAATGAACGCTTTGCTTTCAACTAACCCTTTCTTTTGTCTTTTGATYGTTTGTTTTTGTTTCCTTGCCTACCTTGTTCCCATTGGTTTCTTTTGTCTTATTTTATCATATGAACACTCCTTTCTACCGCCTCTTTCTCTTTTACTCCGATGAAGCGGACTAGCGTTTCGAAACGTCATCTTTTCACGGTGTATAATTTACCTTTTTATCATTACTGTTATGATGTTATAGATGTAAGCTAGCTTTGATGACTGACCTCCGTGTTCAAAGTGCTCGATGATACCATACTGTTCAACAAGCTGTAAAGCAACTTCCTCATTAAAACACAAAGTTGCCATGATTCTTAGTGAGATATCAATCATTTCAGAATCCCCATGCAGGATGACAGGTGCCTTTATCCATTTTACAATTGCCTATAGAGACATGAATCATTAATAGTTAGTTTTATATACTCTTATTAGACATGCAAAATGGTGCATCAAGGTTATTCTTTTACAGGTGCCTTTATCCATTTTACAATATTGCTTATAGAGACATGAATTATTAATTATTATTTAGTTTTACATGTATATACTCTTATTAGACATGTAAAATGGAGTATCAAGGTTTTCATTGAGGGTCGGGGATGGAAAAAAGCTCTGGTATTAAAACTGACCAAAATTCTCCAGCTTAAACAACCATAATCTCCTCCCATTTTTTTAAAACGTAATGAAAACCCTTCCAGGACTCTCCAGATGTAGTTCATAATTTTTTCTTATCTTTTTAAATGTTCATAAAAACCTTGTGTATATTTACAGTTCATGCATACTTTTGATATAAACTTGTTTTCAAAGACTAATTTTCTGTGTCTGTCATTCTGTTCTGCTATCTGAAAAAGAAATGTGATTAATTCATTGAATCTTCAAATTTTTTCAAAACCGTGAAGCTCTGGGTCAATTGAATCCCGTGCAGTCGTAACTCACAGATAGAAGTGGGATTTAGCTTGTTAGGTTTTGTAGAAGGAGGAAAGCTGACGAACAAAGAAAAAGTATCTTGAGAGAGACCTAACAAACTCTACTCACAT